TAGTGAAAACCCATTTTTAATTAAATTACTAAAGGCATCTGTGACATAACTCTCCCCTCCACCCCAAAATTTAAGAACCACTGATTTATGGTGTTTGTCTATAGGTGCAGTCAAATCAGAAGCTTTTTAAAAAATGTAAAAGAGGTCACACTTTAAAACTGGCTGGAAGTTTGAACAAGAATTCACACCAAAAACTGAACACACAAACAAAAAGCTAGAGAGAATTCTGGAAAATATTCTGATAATGGATGATGACTTTAGTTCCTAGTGTTCATATCAAATGAGAAAGGTCCCAAACAATAGACAATACAGTCTGAGGATTAGACATTTAGAAATTAAAGCCAGAAAGTGTGGTTGATTTATAGCCAGAAAGGCACATACACATAGCTCCAGAGGCTGGTGTCAGACACTTTCCTAGGACCTACCCCGAAAGCGTTCCCAAGGATCTATGTGTGGGGTTTATTCTTACACAGGCCAGCTTTAAGAGTTTTTTCCTGGGATACTACCACATCTCTCCAATACACAAAAATAGCACAGTGTCCTCAAACCACTTCTCAAGGTAACTCGGAGAAGTTGTACATAGATGTGTCATAACTAATTTCCTGAGAAAGTATAGAACACCTTGTTCAAAGATACCCAGAGAACCAAGACCAGAACCCTGTAGCAGATACTGGACTTTTAGCTTAGAATAGTAACAATTTTTAAAATATTCTTTGATGCTCCATTAGAGCACTCTACTGTGTCCCCAGATGATATGCATGGTACACAGCAAGCACCTGGTAAGTAGCTGCTTAAGAGTTAAGTAGCTAATTAAGAACAAGAATTTGGTGAGGCCAGTCTCACGGTATTCCTATGGGAGGGTGTTGGGGTTCAGTTGCTGTTTTTTAGTATCAGATGTTGTACTGAGTCTGGGGGATGTGTCTCCAGTGCATCTACCTGCCATCTCCATCCATGGGTCATCAATCTGCAAGCTCCTTTGGATGGCAATTGCCCAATGGGTGATTTCTCCCACATGTGAGCCATAGGAAGATAGACCGGACATGGATGCTTCTCTATCAAAACCGACTCCAGAATTAAATGCAAGGAGAAATATGGCAGACCAAGTGATTCAGCTCTCTCGGAAACCATTCACTAATTAATATTTTATTTATGACCTACATATTCCATAAACTATTGAAGTGCTTCCATCCAAAGCCAACTCTGTGGTCTGCAGGAGCTTCTTAGGAAAGTGGTCAGACACTAGGTTTCTAACTCATCACCCATCCTCATTCAGTTAATGTTGACAATCAACAGTGAGTTGGCTGGATCAATCTAGGTTTTCCACCCATTCCTGTGGTCCCTCCACGGTCCAAGCAGAACACTCTCCCCCAGAGCAAATGATCACGTACTAATGTCCCAAGAAATTTCTTTTTAGCTCTGTGAGAAAGAAGAGAATAGGGCTTTCCTAGAACCTGTGCTCTTTACTTGCTGGGGGGGGACTTCAAAGAATACCAGGATGTGGAGGAGAAAACCAGATCAATCAAAGGAGATGGATGAATGGGAAGGCATGCTTGGTGAATCTGCCCGTATGACCATCTCGGTGTTGGATACCTCCAAGGGTCGCCCAAAGTTCCACAGAAGTAGCCATGGAGCTTCCGTGGGATTTCTTTTTAAAATTTATGAGCGAGAGAGAGTGTGTGTTTGTGTGTGTATGTGAGAGAGAGAGAGAGAGGGAGAGAGAATCTGAAACAGACTCCACACTGAGCACAGAGCCTGATATGGGGCTTGAACCCCCAACTGTGAGATCATGACCTGAGCCAAAACCAAGAGGTGGATGGTTAAATGACTGAGCCACCCAGGTGCCCGGATTTTGTTTTTCAATATATTGGGAAAACAATATGGAAGCCATACATGGACATAGGATAAATGACACATTTTTGGTTGGAATTTCAGTAACAAAGTATATATTGCATACTTCATGAAGAGCAGAGGTTTAGGTTGGCAGTTAGCTCTATTTGCAACTGATGACAAACAGAAAATCACAATAAATGCAGCTCGCTGGGTGACATTTTAGAAAAGATGGGGTTCAGTGGGTGTGAGGGAGAATGGAGGAATAGGATCTCAGCATGGCAATTTAGCAAGTGGTTGGACTTCAGTGCATCCTACATTTCTTCTTTTGCTGGAAGCCCCTAAAAACCCAAGTGGAGCTAAGGGGCCTTCCTTGGTGCTCACAGAAGACCCTTATCACTTATCACATTTATTGAAATTATTAACTTATATGGTGCTCCCTGCCCCTAACTAGAAGGAACTCCTCAAAGGTGTAAGACAATGCAGTGGAATTGAGAAAAAGGATGTTAGGCTGAACTGCACTGGAGTAAAGACATTAGTGGATGCCACAAATCTCCCCAAAGGGACTTTGGAGACAAACGGCTACAGGAAATCCACACAATCACCTGGACCACCTGAATCTTGATAACGTTGCTTTCTGGAAACAGAAGTAGGTTTCCAATCTCTCTGCTGTTCGCTTCCACTCAAGCTCAGGGCTCTCACCACTCTAGCCCATATCTGCTGGGACACGAGCTGTCCTCTGCTATTCTTTCCAAAATGAGCTGCCCGCCCTGCAGTCTCCTGCAGCCTCAGCCAACAAGCAGAAGAAAAGGGAAACCTTCCTTTAAGATGCAGGGTTCACACTTTCTCATTAGGCACCAGTGCACCCAGGTAGTTTGTAATACAGCAAAACACCCTCACTGAGTCTCCTATTTTCAATCAGCACTTTGCTCTTATAGAACTCGCAGACATGGACACGCACATCCCTAGCCCTTCTGCCCGTCCTCCTCCCGTGTTGAGAATTTCATCTTACTACTAACAGTGGTTTCAGGATTCCACTTGGAATATTACCAGCAAAGAGGCACCGTGTACCATTATAACCAAAATGATTAGGAAACTTGCTGGAGGATTTAAATTAAGTCACATCTGAAGCAGTCACACACGTTGCTTCACCATTTGGAGATGCCTGTGTCTCTCCCTGGTGAATGTGGCATTAATTAGTTATGCATGGTTCTTCCCTGGCAAAGAGCAAATTCATTGTAAGTTAGCGAATTTCAATTTTACAGCAGGTGTGTTATTTTGGGAGATTTTTATAAATTGTTCATGTGAGGATAAGCCATATAATTTTATTTTTTTTTCCTGTTCAGTATAGTAGTGAGATACTGAGGGTACGTATACCAAAAAGCTACAATTACCGTCTACTAAGATAATAATTTTCAGACAAACTAATGTGGTATAAACATGCAATTTTGTATTTATGGCTTATGCATCTTGCTTTAGTAATTACATGAGCCTACAGGATAACTTGGTGGGTTTTTTTCCCTTCATAACAACTTACTGTGTGACCTTGGGAATAACACGTCTTTATTTCTGCATTTCTGGGTCTATAAAACAGGCTCAACACTGTGGGGCTGGAAATAATGATTAACACTGTGGATGCTTCTTTATATCACGTGGTCAGATAAAGGCTTCCAGAGGTGCAGATGCATGTTTTTGGAGGGTGGAGAGAATTTAGGGCAAATTCATCCTTGGTTTGTTATTATCCACCATCTTTCTATGAGAAAGACATTTTCACTGTTGTTTTGTCCACTAAGAAACTCACAAGTGACCCAAGGCTAATGACAACACAAGAAACAATGAACACGGACCGATCTCTCTGCCTTTATTTTCTCCTCCTGAAGACTGAATCTAGATTCATTTATTTATATTCTTAACTTTGTCTCATTGCATTTGTGTTTGAAACACTTCAAGTGCTCTCCTCTGCAATGGGTGAGATATGAATACATAATGAAAAAAAGAGTGGTTTCCTTTGTCATCAGTATAATAGAGAGATAATCTAGGCTAATGCAGGTTTTCTAAAAGATTTATATGGAACAGAGCTATAAAAAACGCATTAACCCTTTTCATACAGCCTGGAACACAGCCATATTCTTTCTACAGACCAGAAAGCCAGTCGTTGGCTGGTAAAGCCTTATGCCACACTGCCTTGGGCATGGCTGAGTTGTTCTGAGTAGCGCTACTGACATTTGGGGTCTGATAACTCTTTGCGTTGGGGGCCATCCTGTGCAATGTGGATGTCGAGCAACATCCCTGGCCTCCCCATCCTGGATGCCATCGCACCTTCCTGCTCCTGCTGTGACAACCCCAAATGTCTCCGGACAGTCCAAACATCCCCTGAGGACCAGCTGAGAAATCCCTTTCTCCCTGACTCCAGGGGTGCCTGAATGTTCCAGGAGGATCCCTTAACAGGAGGAAAGAAAGGGTAGCATTGTGGGGTTGCAGCCCACCACACCAAGACCACTGTTTCTTCGCATTCCCTGTCATTCCTTGATCTTCACTTGGCAATACCAGAGTCCATGCACACAGATACCAAACTGCCAATGGGGAAGCCATTACCCCGCGTTTCCTTGCAGAGGGGAAAGGAAGCCAAATGCCCGTTTTGGAAAATCCAACCGAAACGGGTCTTACTTCCAATTTCTTTGAACTTCCGAATGTTTCCATTTGACTCCACACCTAATTTTCTCTTCTCAGGCAAGGGTTCATAAAACTTTGATGAGCAAGGTGTCTTAGGGGAGCGGAGCAAGACCACCCCAGTGACTTTTATGTTTGGGGACTTCATGTCCCTCCATGGACAGATTCAAGGGGCAAATGTGATCCAACCTCCTTAATAACCAGATGTTTGCAATCATCAGAAATACATCTTTGGCTGTAGCCATTTCTCTGTTCTCCAGCATTCAGTCTCAGAGAGAATTTACATAACAACATGTGACATGTAGAATGCTTGAAGGCACCAACCATGACAGGACAAATTACACTCATTTTTCAATACTCTTTGCAAGGTGCTCCATGGCAGGCGCGCGCCGGGCTGCATGCTGGGGCGGTTCTGGTGGGGCAGTCAAGACCAGCATGCACTCACAAAAACGGGAGGGGGCTGGTGCGGGAGGCCGTTGCGGCAGGGAGGCCGCCCCACTTACCCGCCGTAGGCCGGGATCGGGGGCGGCGGCGCCGCGGCCCGGAAGGTGTTGTACACGGTGCGGCCGCGGCCTCGTAGGTGCGCCCCTCGGTAGGCGGCCGCGGCGGTGGCGGCTGGATACGGGAAGCCGGGCACTGCAGGGTGGGAAAGGAGAGAGCAGAGCAAAGGTTTTCAGAAGCACACCTGTCGTGGAGGGCAACCTGCCCACCCAGGACCCTTCGCTCTGCGGGCCGAGGCTCGACACCTGGCCCTCGTCCGGAAGGCAGGGTTCCAAAGGCAGCAGCAGGGAGGAGGTCAAGGCGCAATTCCAGACAGAGTGGGCTAGTTAAGGCGGTGGTCCCTGTGCCCAAGAGAATATGGTAAATGGCAAACATTTACAAAGAATCCGTAGTAACGGGAGACAAGCTCACTGCACAAAGTTAAAATTCTACAAAGGTAGACTGCAAGAAGTATGTGCCTTGTGTTGCCAACATCTCTGCGTCTGTCTATACACACATATACGTATATTGTGTGTTATAGAGATTTATGTGTCTGGGCACACAATATACATGCATGATGTATCCACACATAGGTGTGTGCCTGTGTAAGTGAATGTGTACATGTGCATATTTATATACGCATACACTTGTGTGTACATATACATAATTTCAGTGTGTTCCTAGTTATCCCTGGGGCTGAACTGTGTGTGTGTGTTAGTTATCTACTGATTGCTTTCCCTATCCCGTTATTTATTTCCCACATTTTCCTTTATGTACATATATTGCTAGTTAAAAATTTTTAATTGCAATACAGTGTTCCTACAGACACGTGCATGCATCACAAGTGTGCAAACCCATTATGTGCCAAGAAACAAATGGTTACCGATATCCCATCAGCCTCCAAACCATTTAACAGCTTTTAAGGCACACACAACAACCGTAATTACAGAGAAGTCTGGGAACTCAACTCTTCAGAAGAGGGTGTGGGCTGAGTTTTCCTCCTCAGAGGAAAATTCTGAGTGGGATGGCTTGCTGAGGAATCAAGAGGGAAATTAAGCCTGATGCCAGAGACCCCTGATATTTCATTCTCTTGCCTCTGCCTGGGATGTCCTTCCTCCTAGGGTGTCTGCAAATCTGGACCCACTGGGGCCCAGGAAAGCCTTCAGGAAACCACTTCTGCTTCCTTCTGCGTGTCTGAATCTCACAGTGCTCTCACAGTGCCAGTCTCGAGCGTGCCATCCCCACTAAACTGCAGGCAGGGCGCCCAAACCGCATCCCAGGGAGGAGGCACTTTTCTGGGGAATCCACTGTGGCAGGAAATCTATATTAAAGGCCCAAAACACCCAACCTCTCGCAGGTATTAGTTTCAAAAAGAGGGGGTCAGTCAAGGTGTTACCTCTTCTCTCCCCTATCAACCGGCAAGTTGCTCCAGGATTCCGCCCCCCCGCCGCTCATCTGTCTTCGCTTCTGCCCGTGCCTCCCCGAGTCAGCAAAAGCCCCCTGATCTTACCCATAGTAGGTTCTAAATATTGGACACCTGATGGAACGTAGGGGCAGCTTAAATACATAAACAAGAGAACTAAGTTGTAAGTTGGATGGACAGACTCTCTCTGCAACCTCCTCTCCTCATCTCAGGTTCTTTTCCCGACCCGCTACTCTGACACACAGGAGCTTTCCAGAGGGAGGGAGAAACAGGTAGAAGGAAGCAGGGCGGCAAGGGTTTCCTCCCCTGCTCCCCTTCTCCTGGGAGTTCACACAGTGTATGTAAGGACAGACAAGGGTGGGAGGGACAGGAGCCTCCATGCTCAGAACGTCCTACCACAAGGGAGGCTCTCAAATGTAGGTAATCAGCACACGCACGCCTCTCTCTGGGAGCTCCATTTGGGGGAACACCTAACCGCTCATAGGATGTTGTGTCTCAGGCTGTGTTGAAGTTGCTTCTAGCTTATATCCAAACTGCCAAGGCGCGGGGGGCCTCTCCCCTTCTTACCACCATATACAGGCACAGAACCCCATCTATTCATTAGCCACAGCGTCCTTGGATACGCTATACCCTAGCTGCGTTGCGGGGGGGGCATGGCAGGGAATGGGGAGATGAAACAGCCATCCCCAATCCCTTACACCTCACAGCATCGCACGGACTGGAATAGAACCCTTGAACCCGAAGTGAAGACTGACGGACTATCACCTGCAATTCTCTGCGTGTTCTCATGGATTCCACCAGTTCTTTCTCTCACCAGGGAGGGTTAAATGCTGGAACTGTACAACCAAGTCAGAGTGATTTTATCTTTATTTGTGTCTGCAAAGACCATACCCTAAAAGGTTATTTTTAACCTTTTTTTTTCTTCTTATTGTTGGTCAAGTCAGGTCACGCAGCTGTACTTAACTCTCAGCTTGCCGGCCCCTCCTCACCCGCGTCCCCTGGCTCGTGCGGATGTGCTTGAAATGGTAGAGAGGTGTCACTCCTAATGGGAAAAGCCAGTAAGTCTTAACACCGTAGAAGCCCAGAAGTAATGAGATAGGAGCTGTTTGCTTCAGGACTGGCAAGAAAATGAGTGAGCGTGGCTGTGACTCCCAACTCCATCTTGCCACAGTTCAAATATTAAGTTTTCATAACAACGCCCTGGATTTTGAAATAAAATGAAAAATTCACAATGTGGCAGAGCTGCCTGGGTGAGGAGACACGGTAATTATGCTGACCCATTCATTATCGCCAGCTCCCGTGCAGACTGAGTGAGACCAGATCCCTCTCAGCGACAAGCAGGTTTTACAATAATTCTTGGAAGATTTAGATGTTGAGATACAACGTGCAACAGAAGCTCGGCAGTGGTGCGGGGGACAGCGTGAGCTGCTGGAAAGGGTGGAGCCGGGGCTCCATTTGTACCCTTGGCTACAGTGGGGAGATGTCCCTCCCGAGGCAGCATGAGGTAGGACAGGTCTCCATGCAAGGCTTTGGGGGGGCTCCTCCAAGCCAGGCACATTAGAGGGATTTTTATTTTGTTAAAGGAACACAGGAAAGGCAACACATCAACTCCTGGTTTAAAATAATCGCTTTTCTGGGAGGGCCAAGCGCCCTTAGGCAAAATAAGGAGGTTCATGCAGATCATGCTTTGGACCCGAGGCTTCATAAAGGAAGCATGGGTGTCTCCTAGATGGGTGGTTTGCTCAGCTATCTCTCTTTTGTTACCAGTCTCGGGCTGCCAAGGGGTCTCCCTAGCAAGCCTTTAGTTTATCATGATTAATGAACACTTCCTTCCTCTCTCCTTACTTTCCTTCCTTCTTATTCTGATCCTTCTTTCATTTATGTTTTAATCTTCTTTGGAAGGAAGTGGCCACAAAGCTCTCTGGGTGTACTAGCAACCAAGTAGCTTAGATGACAGAAATGAAAGAGAAGGACCCCCGCTGTTGCTAGAATGTACATCTCCACGAGGGCAGAGATCTCTCTCTGTTCTACCTGTTGATTAGGAAGAGTGCCCGGCACAAAGCAGGTGCCTGGATACCCTTTGGAGGTGAACCGGTGTTCATCCCCCTTCTTCTGGGACCGTAGAGGCACTGCCTCTTCACCTTGCACCTTCCACAACACTGCCCACTATATGAAGTGTTCCGCCCGGGGTTCACACACACACAGGGGGCCAATGATACAACTGGCCCTTGGTCATGATCCCTATAATAAAAGTAAGTTCTACAGCCATGCTCACAGGTGCTGCACTGGCCCAGGAATGGCAACCACAGTTGGCATATGTGTGGTGCTGATAAAAAGGGAGAGGACTTGGATACAAGCATTGTACTTGGAATTATTGCAAAACCTTAATTCATTGAAATTCATGTTCATTGCTGTGCTGTGTCGGGATTGGGAGATCAGGTTCTTGTTCTGGGGAAAAGCAGGACTCAAATGTCCCCCTGTCACCCCCAGACACTGATACCTATCAAAGGACCTGTGGGGTCAGGTTCCTTCACAGAGCCCCAGACAGTGCTCTCTGGCAACCGAGCAAATCTCTGAGTGCAGTAAATGTGTGCCACTAGGAACAATGGAATATAACACTGCTTATAATCCCCAACTTCTGTGATGTTTGGCTGAGCCTTCTGTGTTTCTCGTCATCTCCACTAGAGGAGGTACCCCTGCAGCTGGTTTAGGATTCTGAGTGACTCTCTTCTCTTGCCACTAAGACCAATGGTCAATTGCACAGGTAAAAACAAAAACAAAACAAAACCCCCCACAACTGTTTGTTAAGCTTCCTTTAGACTCAGGACGGAAGGAACTGATTTGTTTACTTGTCTACCATGTGCATTGGCTTGTTGGTGCTGGGACATGGTTAAATGCATATTTGAAACAATTACCTAGACAGATGATTCAGATACAGATGAAACAAAACCGAAATGGCTTTATCCTTGAACCACAGAAAGAAGACATCTCAATTATGTGCTTACTTTGGGACACGACACCTATCTTTTGTTGAGTCAAAGTTATCACACTATCAATGCCCCAGTTCAGGAGTCTGGATCCAGTAAGTGGGCAATAAATGTTTAATAAATCTAATGCAAAAAAGCCAAATGGAAACTCACAATGTCCTCTCCGTTTCTGGAACGGAGTAAATCAATGTTAATAAAAGTCATAAACCTGTCACCCTGTCCCATGTTTGTAAAAGCCTCTTTGTTAATGAAAGAACAGTGTTAGAAACAAAAGACACCAAATTATAGGCATTTCTAAACCCCTGGTGCTGGAGCTGGATTTTTTTATTTCTAGTTGAACTTCCAGTTAATAAACATGTAAAGAGACCATCATTGGGGAACAATGGAAAATATTCAGGTTGTTTTGTGGACACAGTATAAATCCTTAGTTGTTGGCACGAGGGAGACAAGGGAAGAAGAAAAAAAAACAACAACATAGGTTCATTATACTGGAAAGGTTCCCTCTTAAACCTTATCCAGCATGAATCAAAGTGAAAAATCTGGTATCACTGTAACGAAAATTGGATTTAGCTCATAAGCTAAAAATGAGTTTCTCTCAAAGAAAACAGGGCAAGAGCTTCTGGAGCAAATACCAATTGCGCATCTTGTTGACACATCAACATTCCCTGCCTACCCACTCCCAACCTTCAGCTAGATTGATACCCACAGCATATTTTGGGGGAGTGTGAGTGGAATAGCTCGCTCAG